AATATGTGGCCTTTTGTGTCTGGCTTCTTTCACTTGGAACTTAGGGTAATGTTTTCAAGGTTCATCCATTGTAGCATGCATTAATACTTTATTCCTTTTTTTTGTAGTTGAATGAATATCCATTCATCTGATTATGGACATTAGCTTATTTCCACTTTTTGGTCCTTTGAATAATGGTGCTATGAACATTTGTGTAGAAATTTTGGTGTGGATTTATGTATTCAGTTATCTTGGGTATATACTTAGTATTGGAGTTTCTGTGTCAAATGGTAATTGTATGTTAAAAATTTTGAGGAACCGTTAAAACTATTTTCCAAAACAGCTATGCCATTTTTACATCCCCAGCAGCAATGTATGCGAGTTCTGCTTTCTCTACATCCTCACCAACACTGTTATTACATGTCTTTTTTTATTATAGCCATCCTGTTGGTATATTTTGGTATGTCATTGTGATTTTGATTTGCATTTTCCCTTATAGCTAATGATGTTAAGCATCTTTTCAAGTGCTCATTGGCCATTTGTATATATACTTTAGAGAAATATCTGTATACAAATATATTCTTTGCCTACTTTTTAGTTGTTTTTGTTAAATTGTAAGAGTCCTTTATGTGTTCTGAATACAAAGTCCCGATCAGATGTATGATTAGCAAATATTTCTTGTGAGTTATCTTTCACTTTCTTGATGGTGTCCCTTGAAGCACAAAAGTTTAAACTTTTTCTTAAGTCCAACTTATCTATTTTTCTTTAATTACTTATGCTTTACACATCATATCTAAGAAACTGTTGTCTATCCGGAATCACAAAGACTATGCCCGTGTTTTCTTCTAAGAGTTTAGAACTTAGGCTCTTATATTTAGGTCTTGGATCCATTTTAAGTTAAATTGTGTATATGATAGAAAGTGTGTGTGAGGGTCCAAATTTTTCCTTTGCATGTGGATATTCAGTTGTCTGGTACCATTTTTTTAAATTTATTTTTTCATTACAGTTTAAATTCAATATTTTTCTATATTAGTTTCAGGTGTACAGCATAGTGGCTAAACAATTATATACCTTACAAAGTGTTCTCGATATTTCCAGTGCTCACGGGGCACAATATTTCCTATGCTGTACTTTACATCTCCAAGACTATTGTCACTACCAATCTGTACTTCTCAATCTCTTTACCTTTTCCACCTAATCCTCAACCTTCCTCTAGCACCGTTTTTTAAAAAGACTACTCTTTTCCCATTGAATGGTCTCGGCACCTTTGTCAAAACTCAATTGAATGTAAATGTGAGGTTTTATTTCTGTACTCTTGATTTTATTCTATTGGTCTACATGTCTGTCTTTATGCCAGTACCACATAGTCTTCATTACTGTAGCTTCATGGTAATTTTTGAAATTGGATCATGTGAGTCCTACAGCTTTTCAACATTGTTTTGGCTATTCTGGGTCCCTGAATTTCCATATGAATTTTAGGATCAGCTTGTCCACTTCTGGAATTTTGACAGGGATTGCATTGAATGTGTATATCCAATGGCAAGTATTGCCATCTTCACAATGTTAAGTCTTCCAATCTATGAAGATGGGCTGTCTTTCATTTATTTAGGTCTTTTTAAATTTCTTTCAGTGATGTTTGGCACTTTTCACAGTACAATCGTTGCACTTCTAATGTTAAATTTATTCTTAAGTATTTAATTACTTGTGATGCTGTTGTAAAAGGAATATATTCTTGATTTCATGTTTGGATTTTTCCTGTATAGTGTATAGAAAAGCAGTTGATTTTTGTATATTGATCTGGTACCTGAAACTTTACTGAACTCAAATAGTTCTAGTAGGTTTTTTTTTGGTGGGTTCCTTGGAATTTTCTATGTACAAGATCATGACATCTGAAAATAGGGGTAGTTTAGTTTTTCCTTTCCAGTCTGGATGCTTTCTATTTCATTTTCTTGCTCTGGCTAGAATCTTCAGGACAATGCTGTCTACAAGAGGTGAGAGTGGACATCCTTGTCTTATTTCTAATCTTAGCTGGATCAGTCATTTACTGTTAAGTATGATGTTAGCTGTGGGCTTTGCATAGATGCTCTTTATCAGGTTGGGGAAGTTCCTTTCTATTACTAGTTTGTTGACATTTTTAAAAAAATTTTTAAAAATATATTTCATTATTGATTTCAGAGGGGAAGGGAGAAGGAGAGAGAGAGAGAAACATCAATGATGAGAGAGAATCATTGATTGGCTGCCTCCTGCACACCCCCCACCGGGGACCAAGCCCACAACCCAGGTATGTGCCCCTGGCCAGAATCGAACCTGGGACCCTTCAGTCCATAGGCTAACGTTTTATTCAAGCCAAGCCAGATAGGGCCTAGTTTGTTGACTTTTTAAGAATATGTTTTTAATTGATTTCAGAGAGAGGACAGGAGAAGGAGAGAGAGAGAAACATCAATGATGAAAGAATCATCGATATCGGCTGCCTCCTATATGCCCCCTATTGGGGATCAAGCCTGCAACCCGGGCATGTGCCCTGACCAGGAATCAAACGGTGACCTACTAGTCCATGGGTCAATGCTCAATCACTAAGCCACACTGACTAGGCTGTTGATGTTTTTATCATGAAAAGGTGTTGGATTTTGTTGAATGTTTTTCTGAATCTATCGAAATGATTATGTGTTCTTTGTCTTTTTATTCTATTCATATGGTGCATTATATTGACTTATTTTCATTTGTTAAAAATATGTTTGTTAGTTTTAAACTGTAATAATTTTACAGTAAAACATAAACAAGTTATTTTAAATGTAGAGCAAAAGTTAACATGAAATACACTCTTCTTGTTGTTTTAGAATAGTGTCCCTACATTTTTGTGCAATGATATGAATGGCTCAAGACTTAAAGATGTCTTTCCAGGACTGCTTTTTATTTTTACCTAGAGGCCTGGTGCACAAAAATCTGTGTATTTGGGGGGTCCCTCAGCCCAGCCTGTGCCCTCTCGTAATCTGGGACTGCTCGGGGGATGTCCACCTGATGGCTTAGGCCTGCTCCCCAGGGGATCGGGCCTAAGCTGGTAGTCAGACATCCCTCTGGCAGCCCAGGAGCCCTCGGGGGATGTCCACTTGCCAGCGGGGAGCAGGCCTAAGCTGCAGTCCGACATCCTTAGTGCTGCTGAGGAGGCGGGAGAGGCTCCTGCCACCACCACTGTGCTGGCAGCTGGCAGCCTGGCTTGTAGCTGAGCAGAGCTTCCCCTATGGGAGCACACTGACCACCAGGGGGCAGCTCCTGCATTAAACGTCTGCCCCCTGGTGGTCATTGTGTGTCATAGTGACCAGTCATTCCCAGTTGTTCTGCTGTTAGGGTCAATTTGCATATTACCCTTTTATTATATAGGGTATTTCATCCATATTTTATTTCCTTGTCCACTCTAAAGCTAATGAAGAGAAAAATGAAGTAGCAGTAGAATTGAGAAAAAGTTTGTGATTGACAAACTGCATTATTTACTCCTACATTATTGATAGTAAATTTAATGTGGGTAATGAAAAAGGTCATTAACTAGGCTAATTTCTTTAGGAAAAATACTCAGAAAACAATGGGGTGACTCTTCTATAAAAACAAAAGAAATGGCCCTAACCGGTTTGGCTCAGTGGATAGAGCGTCGGCCTGCGGACTGGAGGGTCTCAGGTTCGATTCCGGATAAGGGCATGTACCTTGGTTGCGGGCACATCCCCAGTGGGGAGTGTGCAGGAGGCAGCTGATCGATGTTTCTCTCTCATCGATGTTTCTAACTCTGTATCCCTCTCTCTTCCCTCTCCCTTCTTCTCTGTAAAAAATCAATAAAATATATTTTAAAAATAAAACAAAACAAACAAACAAACAAAAGAAATGAAAAGAGAATGATTTCCATGGTTGTGGTGCCCTTAATAAAGTTGTAGCTTTTGTAGGACAACTTTGCTTATATTTATTTGTAAATTATTGAGTGATATAAGTATTAATGTGAAAACTGATTTAAGCATAAAACAATATAAATATTTTTTAATTTTCACCCGAGGACAATTTTTATTGATTTTAGAGAGAGGAAGGGAGAGAGGAAGAGAGAGAGAGAGAGGAAGAGAGAGAAAAACTTCCACCAGTTGCCTCCTGTACGCCTGCCCCTCTCTTCCCCCCACAACCAGGGATCAAACCTGCTACCTAGATATGTGCCCTGACCAGGAATCGAACCCGCAACCTTTTGTATAAACCAACTGAGTCACCTGGCCAGAGCAAGCATAAAACAATAGTTATGCTAGGAAAATAATCTTTTGTGGGTTTAAAAACTGGTATAAGTTAGGGGTTATCTTACACTAAATATTGGGGAAAAATTGGTTAATATGTGAGGGAGACATATTTTTGTAAAACAAAAGTGCAGAATAAATACACCTTCAACTACAGTTCTATCCTTGGGTTCTGAGAGTTTTGCTGTCACATATATGAATTGACAGGTTTGGTTTCTTCAGGAGATTTCACTTCTAATGCAAATTTTGTCCGTTTATAGCAAGACCAATTCAGAGATATATTATTACCAAACTATTTATTAAATGGCATGATAAAACGTTAACAGACATTTCAGACTACTTTCATGAATCCCGGAGCCAGAAACAACCAGGCTTTCAAAATCAAGTACTATTTTTTGCTCTTTAGAATTTCAAAACCTTTCTCCTCCAAAATTAAAGTTCATCAGAAACTGATTCCAGATTTATTTGCTTAATGTAGGTGATTCTAAATTTTACATTTATATGTTTTCTCTTCTTATACCGAATAAAAATTATGCAAACTCGTCCAGGGTTATAATACTTTGCCCAGTTAAATATGCCAAAGCCATATCCAACTAAGTCCTTTCCATGTGCTATCACTAGTTCTGGAGTTTATCTTAGAATTCGAAACTTGTATCTGGATATGATTAGATGGTTATTAGAATGTGTACCTCAGATGATTTAATGAATTACCCTGAATGCTCATTGGTATCATGCCATTTGAATGTTTTCTTTTATAGAATAAATATGGCAGAGCTTCCCGAGACAGAAGGACCAGTGGATTGGAAAGAGCGATGCGTAGCCCTGGAGTCCCAACTCATGAAATTTAGAGTTCAAGCAAGCAAGATAAGAGAGCTCCTAGCAGAGAAGGTAAGCTTTTCTCCTTAACCTGTGCTATCAAACAGCAGCGATGCAGGGCCTATTTCATTTCTGTTAAATAATCTCAGTACTTTTGGGGATAAACACAACGCAAAACGACTATAATTTAACCTTTTGTCAGGGCTTTGAAGCTATATTTGGTCCAGTCTTTTGCCCGTCTTAGAGTAAATTAAGACAAGGACCTTTCCTTGCAAATACTATGCAATGGAATATGTAAGCATTATGTGTATTTGATGAATGTAGAGTGCATTTACTCCAGAGAGAAAAGCTATAATTTATATAATTTATTTGATTTTATTAGAGAAGTGTGACAGCATTTTGATCTACTTAAATGTTTAGGAAAGTTATGTTTAAAGTGATTATAGAAGAACGTTCTCGATTGGTAGTAAAATCTGTTTATACTGTATTTGAAAAAAATACAGTACTTATATTGACTATGTACCACTAAACTATCATCTCAGCTGGTATTTAATTTAAGATAATTATATGCTTTTCTTAATAATTCTAATCATGTAATTAAAATTTTATTTATGTCACATGAAGTTGCGGGGCATATATGTGTATAAAATGAATAGATAAATTCATTCATTTGTGGATTCATTCATTCAAAAATATTCATTGAGGGCTGACTATGTGACAGACACTGTTCTTAATGCTGCAGTTACAATTGTGAACAAGACAAGCTGTGTTTCTATTTCCAGGGAACTTGGGTTCTAGACCTGCACTATCCAATATGGCAGCCACTAGCCACAGGTGGCTGTTGAGCATTTGAAATAAAGCTAGGTAAAATTGAAATGTGTTGCAAATGTAAAACACACACCAGATTTCAAAGATTTAGTATGAAAAAAAGAATGTAAAATATTTTACATTCTCTTGCAATAACTTTTATATTGATTGCATGTTGAAATGATAATTTTTGGATATTGGGTTAAATAAAAAATGTTAAAATTAATTTTACTTATTTCTTTTTACTTTTTTAATTTTACTAGAAAATTTAAAATTATACATGTGACTCACATTATGTACTAGTATTTCTGTTGGACAATGCTGTCTGGGTGAATGGATAAATGATATTAATGGTCATTCATAGCTGATCAGAGTAACTTACAGGTGTCTTCTTCAACTGTAGTCTGCATAATCCTTTTGGATGGAGGGCTGGTATAGGTATCAGATGTCCAAAAATGATCATTTTAAATCTTCCTTTCACTGCTAGCTAAGAATCTCTTAGCACAGAGGTATTCTAATGATATAACTACATATCACTAAAACCCAGAAAAACATGATTCAGTTTAATATCATCTTAAATTTTTGTGCTTTAACATCTTTTAGGTCCAAAGATTAAAGTTATGACATTAGTACCCAATATCAATTTGCTTCACTTATCTCTCTTATAATCAAAGTTGTAACTTGAAGAAAATACCAGTTGAATATCTCCAAGTTGGGGGAGCTTATCCTAACTCAAAGTTAGTGACACATGCTTTTGTCTTTTGCTCCTCTCTCTATAAAAGTCATTTCTTAGGTTGTACTGTGATTTATCTGGTATTTTTCACAATTCTAATCACCTCATATGATGACTTTTGTCAAAATTATAAATTATATACATGTTGCTAAACCTCATGGATTACTTCCCAGGTGTTGCCTTAGTCTCTCAGCAGTTAGCACACTCTTGACTCCTCAAAATTTTCTTGGTTCTCTATGGATTAAATAGAAGTTATGTGTATTTGGTTTCCAATTAGTTGACCTTTAAATTCTGAATTTGATGGCAACATTTGTTCTGTTTTTTTTTTTAGAAGGCTTGTAACAAAATTTTTTTAGTGCCCATTTTTTAAAACGTTAGTGTTGTTTTCTCTACAAGTAAAATTGTAAATAGCTTTTGATTATTAATTTATGTTACTAGGCTTTCTTTTTTCTTTGTCAGTGGATGAATTTTGAGAGTAATATTATTTTCAAATTGCTATTTTAGTTGTGGGTATTTCTCCCCCCTCCCTTTTTTTTTGTCTTTTGTATCTGTGACTTAAATCCTTTGCCAGATCTAAGAGATGGAATTACTCAGTTGTGTCTTATACAGTGGAAAGTAGATACGTTTGCCAAGTTACTCATGGTTTTCCAGTAAGTAGATTCAACACCAAAATGGAAATAACGTTTTTCACAATATTTTCTGTTATATTCCATTATGCAATATTTTTCTCTGGATTAAAAATTAGTTTTGGTACTCACCCATGTTTTAGTAAAAATACCAAGCGTTTGTTGATTTTTTATGTGCTTAACAACCTGTGAAGTAATAAATTTATTGTTCCCATTTTACAGATTAGGAAACTGATGCTTACTATGTGCCAGACAGTCTTCTAAGTGCTTTATGTAAATTAACTTTTTAATTATTACAACAACAATCTAGGAGTTAGGTACTGAATTATCCATATTTGCATAGGAGGAAACTTAGGCGCATAGCAGTTATTTAGCTTGCCTGTGTTTGTGCCAAAAAGTAAGTGATGAAGCCAAGATTTTAAACTTGGCATTCTGCTTTTAGAACCCGAATGCGTAGCCATCACCCCATATGGCCTCTCCCATCTAGTTTTATTACCACATTCCTTGCTTTCTCTGACCTACCCACTCATCTATTCAATCTTCTTTTTAGCCATGAAAGATATAAATCCATCTCTGCTTGAGGCCAGTATTTGTGTGTTATGATGTGTGTGTGTATGTAGTAATAATGATTTACATACCATTACATATTTTTTCAAAGCGAACCCTATTGCATTGCTTCTACATGCCAACTCGAGTCAAATAGTGCATTCCAGAGGCCAGTCTGGTCCCATTCATAACCATTGGTTTTATGTTAGGACCAGTCTGCTCCATAGCTTTTTCCTGCTCGTTCTCCACACTTTCCCCCCAAATGGATGCTGGCCCAAGGCTGAGAATTCTTGAGAGAATACTAATTTGATTCTTTAGCTCTTTGCCAGGAATTCTAGCCAACTTTTCTTTTCTGCAGTAGTTTTTGATTCTTGGTTTTGTTTTATTGGCACGGGCTATGGCAGCTAACAGTAAGTGCTAGCTATAGGTCCTAAGCAATTAGTACAACCATTAGCTAATTTAAACCCCAAAGTAACCTGATGAGGAAATCATTGTGATTCCCAGCCTAAATAAGTTAACATTAAGACTGAGAGTATTTGAATAGTGTGCCCAATATCACACAGCTAGAAATTGAAGAGCTGGCAGTAAATCTTAGATCTTTCACACTTTTCTTGTGATGCAGTTTATAAAGAGAGTGCCTGGCACATAGAAGTAACTCATTATTATTTTCCTATATCTTTCTAAATGAATACACTGGCTAAGTGTGCAAGGGGATGATTTCAACAAATGTAATTACCAATTAATAGGAGACGTCTTTCTGAATTTTTTAGGAAAGACGTGTGAGATGATCTCAGAGTGGTTTTTATAATGAAAGGTGAATTTTTAGTTATGTATACCTTATGTGGTTTTTTTTGGAGATGGAGTAGGAGAATACAGGGGATTTTTCTTAAAAAGAGTTATTTTGTATTTTTTTAAATCATAATTTCTAAGTAACTTAGAATATTGAAGTTTATGAAGAAAAAGGCCTTATTGAAGCCTTGGGCAAATACTGCTGTAAGTGGGAGAGGTCTTTAAAGGAATTTAAGGAATGGTGTTGGAAATATCTCTAGTATGCCAAATATAAACTCTTCAGGGAAGCTGAGATTTAAGTAGTTTTCCTACTTTACAGTATTACTAGTTTTCTGAGTCAGGGAGGGAAGAAGGAAGGTTTCATTTTAAGTTGAAGTGAACGTTATTTCCTATGGGTTAGATTGGAAGGATTTTTCCTTTAGGTATCAGCGTGGCCCCAATCACCTAATGCTGCCTTTGGCTGATACAGCATTACTGTCTGGTTTCTGGCCACTTGACCTTGCTTCTGTGACTATAATTCCCCAGAGGTGGTTTAGAATTCTCTCATGGGAATGAGGAGTCCGTGGACAGCACAATGTTTGCTTTTCATATGACCACGATTACCCTATTTAAATTCCACATCTCAGTGTCTCTGTTGCCTCACCTAATATTTCACAGTGCCTAACAGAAATTATACGTATACTAACAATAAGACTTTGAAGGCTAATTTATATCATTTTGGGCTACTGACTGAAGATATTATTTATTATAACAAAATGGTGATAGAGTCTTTTATGGGTTCTATGGGGGGAACAGTCAGGAGG